TCAATAACTACTTTCATTCAGTTTTAACCACAGACAGCGACATCCCTGCGCCTCTCGAAATTCATAGCGTCAACCCCATTGAACCTGTCCGCTTAAGCAAAGCGGGTATATTTGACCTTTGATTTGATTGATTTGTGGAGTTTAACGTCCCAAAACCACCATTTGATTATGAGAGACGCCGTAGTGGAGGGCTCCGGAAATTTTGACCACCTGGGGTTCTTTAACGTGCACCCAAATCTGAGTACACGGGCCTACAACATTTCCGCCTCCATCGAAAACGCAGCCGCCGCAGCCGGGAATCGAACCCGCGACCTGCGGGTCAGCAGCCGAGTACCTTAGCCACTAGACCACCGTGGCGGGGCTATATTTGACCTTTTGCTAAAACCGAAGGTTAAGAAACAACCAGGGCCTGATAATATACCGAATCAGTCTCTCGCCCGTTACGCTGAATGGATAACCAAATATCTGTTCATTATATTTAGCATGTCCCTAACAAAATGCTCACTTCCCAATGACTGGAAAGTGGCAAGAGTCATACCAATTCACAAATCGGGTAGTGAGGTTGACGTCGCCAATTATCACCCGATATTCTTGACAAGCACTACTCCCAAAATACTAGAGCACATTATTCTTAAGCATATCACTACTTACCTTGAAAGAGAGCACATTTTGTCACCATTTCAGCACGGGTTCCATAAAGGCCTATCTACCGTTACGCAACTTACTGAATTAATACATGAACTGTCATCGGCCATTGACCATCAAAAGCAGATCGACCTTATTTCACTCGACTTTTCAAAAGCATTCGACCGGGTTTCGCATCAAAAGTTAATAATTAAACTGCAGGCAACATTAGGTAAAGGACCAATCACAAAATGGATTAGCGCATATCTGACCAGGCAAACACAGTTCGTAAAAATAAACCAGCAAACATCGGAGCTATCAAAAGTTACATCAGGTGTACCGCAGGGCAGCGGTTTAGCCCCTATATTATTTCTTATATTTATTAACGATTTGCCCCAGTCCATTGGAAGGAACATCAAGCTTTTCGCCGACGATTATATTATTTATAAAGAAATTAACTCTCTTTCAGACCATATTGCTCTTAGTAATGCCCTATTATCAGTATCTAATTGGTGCACGAAATGGCAGATGACCCTAAACGTAAAAAAATCAGCTTTGTTAAGAATATCGCGTAAACAAACGCTATCATATTGTGACTACACTATTGAAGACACACCACTAACTTCCCTAAAACAGCATAAGTACCTAGGACTAGTGATTTCTAATCATCTTAGATGGGAGGTGCATGTTAACTATGTTACATCTTCAGCCTTAAAAAGATTATTTTTCCTAAAAAGATGACCACGTTCTGCACCACCTCAAACAAAACTATTAGCATATAAAACCTTAATCCGCCGATTATTAGAATACGTCAACTTAGTCTGGTTCCTGGCAACAAAGAACCTAATTAAAAAGCTAGAAGGGGTGCAAAGGAAAGCAGTTAGATTTACCTATAATAAATACAGCTTGCTCAACTCACCCTCTGAACTGATCGCAAGAGCCGGGCTACTAACATTACGAAATCGCGCTAAACTCGCACACCTAAAAATGTTCTTCCAACTTATTCATAGGCAGCTAAACATCGACAGCTCAAGATTCATATCTACTTCAGAAACCCGACAGTCACGCCATAAACATCCACTAACATTACAAGAATACCAATTCAGCACCAACTGCTTCAAGTATTCCTTCTTCCCACAGTCAATTAGAGAATGGAATAGATAGCCCGCTTGTCTGACTAATACTAAAGATCTGAATACTTTTTTTAAGTTTGCTTGAAAACCACATTCGTGACACTCATAGCCGCGTCTCTCATAATCATATCGTGGTTTTGGGACGTTAAACCCTGCATATCACTCATAGCCGAAATGATGTTTTTCCTCTCTATGCTTTTTTTCTCGCTTGTACAGTTCTTGATGCTTCTTTAATATGTCTGTGTTATCAGTGCATTATGTATTACAATATTTTTGTGTATATCTGCCTGACATAGGTTGTGCTTTTATACTCTTCCTGTATTATTATAGAATATCTGCTGTCGCGCATTCTCGCATGTAAGTGCAAGTGTATCTATTGTGTATTTGGTTGTATATGTATTTCTTGTGTATTTTGTTTGCCCTCCTGCATTAGTCTTCTTTGGGACTGGCAGTATATAAAATAAATAAAAATAAAATAAATAAATAAATGCTAAACCACCTGCCCTGTGAAACACAAAAAGTCCTTCTTCCCTTGTATAATGCCATTTGGTTTTCCGGCGAGATTCCTTCTGCTTGGAAAGAAGTCATTATTATTCCGATTCTAAAATAAAGCAAAGATCCATCATCCGTCACAAGCTACAGGCCTATCACTCTCACAAGCTGCCTGTGTAAACTTTTCGAAAAGATGATTAACCGCCGCCTCTTACATATTCTGGAAAAAACAATTTACTGGACCCATACCAGTGTTGATTTCGTGAGGATAGATCCACTACTGACCTGCTTGTTACAAATAGATGCGCAAATTCGTGATGCTTTTATCCATAATCAATTCTTGCTTTCATTGTTTCTCGATATAGAGAAGGCTTACGACACCACCTGGCGCTTCGGCATACTGTGAGACCTCTTGCACTTTGGTGTCCGAGGTAACATGCTGACCATAATTGAAAGTTACTTGTCCAACCGCACTTTTTGTGTCCGGGTGGGGAATGTCTTGTCACGAACATTTGTCCAGGAGACAGGAGTCGCAAGGTGGTGTCTTGAGCTGCACACTTTCTTTTGTAAAAATGACTACCTTGCATTCCCACATTCCACCCAGTATCTTTTATTGCACATATGTTGACGATGTTCCAATTGGTTTTAAATACTGTAATCTTGGAATCTGCGAGCGGCAGCTCATACTTGGTTTGAATAAGGTTACTAAATGGGCAGACGAGAATGGGTTCACCCTTAACCCGCAAAAAGGCACATGCATTTTATTTTCAAGAAAGAGAGGTTTTCATCCCGATACGACTATTCACCTTCACGGTCAGTGGCTTGCTGTGAAAACTGAACACAAATTTTTATGCATAACTTCAGATATAAAATCGACATTTGTACCGCACATAAAAAATCTAAAAAATAAATGCCTGAAATATATGAATGTACTAAAGATCTTGTCGCGCACATCATGGGGCAGTGATAGAAAATGTCTCATGAATCTTTATAAAAGCCTCGTACATGTGCGCTTAGATTATCGGGTGATTGTCTATCAGTCTGCCACACCAAGCGCTTTGAAAATTCTTGACTCGGTCTATCATTTAGGCATCCGGCTCCCTATGGGTGCTTTTCGCACTTGTCCTGTAGAGTGCCTGTACATAGAATCGTAAGATCTCTGAAGTTGCAACGACCATTCGTTCATGTCCTTGCTATATTATTTCAAAGTGAATGCAGACAAAGAACACCCTACACATTCGACTATTAATGATATGTCAAGTTCTGCACTGTTTTACAATTAGCCTTCGTTGCGACAAATCTACTCGATTCGTGTGAGGGGCCTTGCTCAGGAAACTGGTGTGCCACTTGACCACCTTTTGATGGCTCCTGTAGCACACTTGCCACTGCCATGGTGGTACCGTGGCAGTGGCAGTCGATAAACTGCGATGTGTCTTTCTTAGAGGTTACAAAGCATGCACCCATTGTAGACATCCACACACACTTCATGAAATTGCAACATAAATACACTTGTCCTGAATTTTTTACTGCTGCCTCAAAGTCTTACATTTATGTTTCATACGCAGCGGTCGTTCCATCCTTTTTGGATGCCGGCGCTCTGCATTCTAACACAAGCATGTTCACCGCAGAAGCTTTTGCGATACTTGCGGCCGTTAAGCAAATTAAAGAATTAAAGCTAGAAAAGGCAATAATCTACACAGATTCCCTAAGCATTGTAAAAGCTCTGAAAACTCTTAAAAAAAAACAAAAATCCTGTCCTTGTCTTGCTTTATTCACTTCTATGCACAGTGTACAAGTCTAAACGGCATGTTGTAGTGTGCTGGGTTCCAGGACACCGCGAGATCCAAGGTAACATGATGGCGGACCAGCTAGCCGCATCTATCCTAGACAGCGCTGCTAATACATCCGTAGCTATCCCTCCTCTTGACCTAAAACCATATCTTAAACGAAAGCTTAGAGCTTATTGGCAGAGCGCATGGAATAGTCCCAGAGAAAATAAATTACACGTCATTAAGCCGTTCCTTGGTAACTGGCCACCAGTATCAAAATCACGCCACACAGAAGTTACACTTACGAGGCTACTAACAGGACATACACACAGCACACACTCACACCTTTTGTGCGGTTGCGATCCAACTTTGTGTGATAGATATGGTGAATCACTAACCGTCAACCACATCCTCATCTAATGCAGTGAGTTTGACTCTATTAGAAAAAAGCATTTTCCATAAGCTTACCATGAACACATTCTACTACATTCTGGAATATTCTTTGGCAAAAAACTACTTTTTAAATATCAGTCATTATTTGCGTTTTTAGATAAAATTCAAACCTTCAGCATCATATACAAGGTAAACCCGTAGCATAAACTCTCTGCAGAGGTTGTTGCTATGGTAGCGGCTGCGAGAAGCACCTGCCTCTCATCCCTTTGGTTTTAAAGGGGTTGAGGAGGCATTCGTGCTATTTTACAATCGCTCACTTGTAGATACTAAGGTCACTTGTGATTCATTCCACCTCCTAAATCAAATTGCATATCACTGTCATAATTTAAAACTTTATGCACATATTTTACGCTTTTATGCGGCACGTGGTTTTAGGCCTTTATGCAGCCATAATACACCTTGTCATCGCAATCATTAGTCATCAATTACATCGCATCAATGACATGGCGCTCTTTGGCCACCTATGGCCCTTGCGCCACAAAGATCCACTAATCATCATCCTAATAGTTTGAGCAGCAGGGGGACTCACCGAGGGCCTTGACTGCCTCAATGTGGCGCTCGGGACACATGGCGGCAGTGAACTCGAAGACAGCCGGTGATGTCATTACCACTGAGAGGCCATGGGGCTGCAAGAGGTGGAGAAAAAGGAGAAAGCAAGACTTCAGAGTGAAGTGAATGTAAATGTGGCCCCACACCCAATAGGCTAAGTAGATTATGCATGAGAGACAAGATGAAAGGAAGAAACAGTGTAGGACAATATTATGAAGGTGAGATAATGAGATAAATAGATGTATCTAGAGACGTACACATCTATGAAATATTAAGAGCAAATGCAGCATAGAACATATTGGGTGAAATATAGCATAGACATATTGTGTGTGCAGATACCTACAATATTTAAAATAAATTTTAAACTGCATGCTGCGTGCGGACCCCCTCATGACGCCGACATCAATGCGTGAGGAGTGTAAACAAATCTCACATACCCACACGCGGGTATGTGCCACTGTCTGGCAGAAAGTGACGACATATGTGACAGAATTGAGACATTATTGATGTCATGACCAGCGAGTCATATTCATCAAACCAGCTTACCCTCCATTACTAATTTTTGTTTGCCCCAAGTTGAGGCGTTGATTACGAGAGCACCCAGACATAGGCAGCTAGATAGATAGATAGATAGACACGCAGATGGACACCAAAGGTGCTCGAAGTATATAAAGAAATGTTTGGAATTTAATACCGCTGCATACCATGCTTATGTGTAGCCGAGCGGTTGCAGATGTTTAGTGCAGGTCACTGGCTGTCTGAAGAAAAGCACTTCTTCACACAATAATAATTCTGCTTCAGCACATTGCCAATTATATCACCTAAACACCTTGCCGAAGTCTATGATTCTATACACTGTGGTTGCTGAGATAAAGGAAAATAAGTATGAAAAAGCCATGTTTCAAGACAATAGCAGTTAAGGTTGAAAATGTGCATTATTTTACAAGTACAATAACATCACAGTGAATTGACAGACTCGTTCAATAGGCACCAGCCAAATATTTATCAACAATGATATTATTTTCTGTTTGTGTTCAAACATCTTGCCTGTCGAGCCTCCTTTGTCACCAGCTGTGCAGCCCTGTCAGCAGTGTACTGTTGGCGCAGGTCAAGGGTGCATGGGCCTGCACTGTGCAGCGCCCTAGCGAAATTCCAAAGGAGTTAAGTGCATTCACACGCGCTATATTGCCATCGTTATTAAGTGAGCATAACATCAAGAGTGGATATTTCCAGTGTTCGATGTCCGAGAAAAACTTTGTTTTGGGGGTGCGCTTCCACATAAAAATTCAATGAGGTTTCGAATTTTTCCATAGAAAAATTTAGCATGTGTTTCTAGATGAGCTAGTTACGGATGATTTGGCTTTAACAGTTTCAATAACAGATACCGGAAAATGTTCTTTATGAATGAATGGTGGACCATTAAATAAAGCTTTATTGATTTTACATCAAGTTTCAGCACCCGTCGGGCAAAGGCCGCAGAATGAATTGGTATCCTTTGACGCCATGTGAAAATATGTGGCCCAGACAGCCTTTTGCATTTCCTCCAAGCTGGCCCTATTTGATTTGATGGAACTATTAAGAAGTCTCCGGTTAAATGTAGATGTCCCGAAAGAAAGCTTGATGCCTCTACATTATTTCGTTTTTGTAGTTGTGGGCTCATTCTTTTCTGAATGTGCTGAATGCACTCCAGCTTGCTAACTGTAACCTATCCACAAGGCTATGATGCTTTAAGTGGAAAAAATCCTTTTACATAAGAATGGGGGCAGGGCATGGCACAAGTTCTAAATGTGTCATGTTTAGAGAAAAAGAATCTGCGAGAAGAAACAAGCAACTGATTTTGGTTCAGAAAACGCCACAAATTTCAAATAACGCAGAAATTTAAAAAAATGATTTGCTTCAATTGTTTTGTTTACTTTGTTCCCTTAAAAGCCATCAGACTTCAAAAATGATTAATCAATTTAAGGCTAATATGTTTATTTAACCTTCAAGTAGGGTTTTGTGGCAGTGCAGATTTTCTCTGAATAGATGTTTTCACGGTTTAGTACCCCTTCACTGCAGCGAAGTTATCTTTACAAAAATTCACAATGTATATTTAAATAGATGCTTTCATGGTTAAGCATCTTTACACTACAATGAAACAAGTTTCACAGGAGGTTACATGCGGACATATTGGTTCGTTGCAAATACTTTGAAAATTTTCGATAAGTTATATTTAAATAATAGCTTCCAAATTTCACTAAAGTAAATTTGAATCAAGATGAACTTGAATATGGTCCTATTCGCTCAAATAATCAAAGCATTCAAATATTTGCACAAGCCTAATATTTTACCCCAAGCTTGTTAATTCAGAAGATCCTCAGAGTACACCAAGCGTGCCACATTAATATGTATGTCACTAAGGTACGAAAATGGCGTTCTCAGACAGCCAAAATAACTGTGGGCCTCCTAAAAGGCATGGTCGCCATACATGATCACATTGTTTGCATTTAATAAGCCATGAAATCAGAGCGCATTCCGCATTAACAAACAAGGGCCCTGAGCCGCACTCGCATTGTGATTGACATTCCAAATGACAAAAATTGCGACTTTTCCACAACTCTATTGCCAAAGTATTGATGACTTTTCTCAAGAAGATGAAAGGTAATTTATGTAATAGACATTCATTTATTGTTTTCCTAATACTTGCAGTATTTAAATCTGCACTATGGTAATTTAGACTGTTTTTCCAGTCCCACGAAATCTAAATTGACGAGCTCTTACTGTAGCAGCCAAATATAACATAATATAACAGAGTTTCTATTATTGAATAATAAATTTGACTTGGAATAAACAAAAACAAAGAAATTTTTTTTTCCCCTGTTACTTGGTCCTCTTTAGCTACAGCCAAGTTGGAAATAAATTAACAAGAATTTGTAAGTTCTGTGTGCCCACACATAGTTCACACAGAGTAGATGGACTTTTCCTAGAGACTAGGTAATTTCAAAACACTCCAGTCAGCTGGTTAGTAGGAACATTAAACGTTAAACCCATTTGTCCAACACTGCACACCGAAAGGGATTAGTAGTTACCATAACGACAGTTCAGCTTCAAGTACGTTGAAATCTGCTTGAAAGTGCACAATGCAGTTTCACTTTATTGTGGATTGCTGTTTTTGCCCACTATTTCACACGAAAACACATGCATCGCTCAGCATTAGAAACTGGCAGACAGCGTCACCACAGATGACAAGCAGCGTAAACTACATGCTAACCCCGTCTTTGAAAACATGCGTGAAACGTCATCAAATTGTAATCGCACAAGAGACACCAGTTGTGTCGGTGTGCCTTAATACAACAGCCTACAGGCAGGAGGAGGGCATGTGAATGCGTTGGTTGACATGACCGAAAAGCTTGTAAACAATGTAATTTATCTGCAAGTATGAAAAAAAATGCTTACTAAACATGCCAAAAGAGAAGTTGAAAGTAGCGATGCAGCCAATTTTAAAATTTTGTAGCCAGTCAACACAGTTAAGCAGCAAATTCGGCCCAAAGTGGTCAGCAACGGCATTTCTGACACTATGTTATTTCACATTGTCACTCCTGAGCGAGCAATGAACATGATGAAGGATGTTTTTCACAAAAGTAGGCAGGAGGTCCAGAGGTGAAATTCATCCTATTCCAGCTAATATGAACAATTGCTACTACAGTAGACTCATTAAACGGAAATGTGTTAAATCGAACTGCTGCCTAAATGGAACAACTGTTTCTGATATAATGGGCTCAGTAGTTGTATTCTGCACCCATGTTCATCTCTCGGTAAACAGAACTGCCATTAAATTGAACACATTTTTCTGGTCCCTTCAGGTTCCGTTTCACGAGAGTCTACCATACATTTACTAATAGTAGGTATATTAATTAAATCATATCAATAAAGAATAGTTGTACACACACCACTGCAGAAGGATTCATTAGTTAGCAGACCAACCTGACGAGAGCAGAAAAAAATGCCTATAGAAAGAAAGATAACTCTCGGATGATGCTTGCGTCATCACGCACACAACAGTGACCCGGCAGGGTACTTCCACGAGAAATGCCATTTTCTGTGCAAGCTAGCTACTTCCCATTGAAAGCAAGAAATAGTGATTGGCACTCACAATGATGGGGTGATCGGTGACGTACTCAGTTGCCTTGTAGTCCTTCACTTGGCCGGCAATAGGATAAGACATGCCATGGCTTGCAGACCACGATAAAGTGTGAAAACAGAGAGAACGAAAAAGACACACACAACTCTTTACTAGCCATGCCCACAAGTTTGATTTATACGGATCTGCATAATACACTTCTGAGGATAATAATTTATACCGACGTCAAGCAAGCAAGCTAAGTCTACTTAGGTGGGCACATACTTTGGCTGAAGTGTGCTTTACCAAATCGAAGAGTGTAGGCAGAAGAAAATGCTCCCCGTCAGAGTACATTTTGCAAATGCACCCTGCTGCGTTTAAACCGGTAGCAACGCTGGCATACTAGACAGCTGCATTTCTCAGTGAGAAGAAAAAAAAAATACGTTACCTTTGTTTAGATTCATAAATGAACATAAAACAACCCAGCTTTTGAATTTATTTGGTGCTGTTTTACCTACATATTCAAAAATCGCACTCGCATTTCGTAACTTCTTAGCTTACAGTATGCTCTGTTTTCCCATTTAGCTCCGCTTACATAAAATCCTACTCAGGGTTCCTATTTACTTTCAGAAAATGAGCTTGACTTACCCCCTTTTTGCGTGAACATTTTTAAATTTTTAGTTTCCTGGCCGATGATAAACAGCAGCGATGCTATATTTCTATACATTTACTGCTTTACAGGATAGTACAACAGCAGATGTGGGATATTCAAAACAAAAACATTTATATTTCAGTATAGTAAGATTCCAATGAACCACAAGACAATGTCTTACACGCCAACCACTTACAGGCAGCACGGAGAAATTCGCACTAGAAGGGAGCAGGAAGAGGAATAGCCAGTGCCAGATTGCCAATCAACATGCCGCACATACTTCTGCTTTCAGTTTGGCCCCGAGTGTGCCCACTTTCTACTTTACGAAGCCTGCTTTCGATAATAGCAATCTTAGAGTATGTATAAGGTCTGTTAGAAAAGTATCCGACCTCCTTTTTTTTTCCCTAGCACCTGATGAATTTGAAACAAGCACACTTGCATAAGCCGACCTTGCACCTTCTGAGCATGCGTGAATTTTTTCCTGCCTGCTATTTTTTTCCCGACTGACACTGCGTCGATGCAGCGTTTGAGTGAAGTAGTGCGCAGGGCTCCCATCGGTTTTTCATTGCAATAAAAAGGACTGAGTGAGTGGAGCAGTGCTACTGCATCCAATTTTGCCAGAAACCGAGCGACAGTCAGGTGGAAGCCTTTCGGAAGATGAATATTGTCACGGGGTCGTGACGTGGCCAAAGACAGAAAACTTCGTGTTGGGATTTAACTGTTTATTTGGGCAAACCTGTGCCCGGTAAAGGGAAAGTCTAATTACAGCAGCAGTCTTGCACAGATAGCAGTCTCGGACTGATAGCGGCGAACGCAGCGTCGGCCTTCGATCAGCTACTGACAAGCGGCGAAGCGCGTCGGCATTTATACCCTTGCCGTCGAATGTTCTAGCGTTATCGCTGGCGGTGGCGTAGGTTCCAGAACAATCTGTACCGTTCGCACAGTGGGCGTCATCTTGTCGAAATGATCTACTACAGTCCGGAACCTTCTCGAAACCTGCAGGCGCGGTTTGCGCCGAGAATCGTGTGGTGTTTCGGAACGATAACAAAAACTTGTGAAATGGGACGTGGCATTGCCCCCCTCTGAAAAAAGGCATCGTCCCAATGCTTTAACTAAAGATGAAGGTACAATAATAATGCAAGAAAGTACAATGAATAAATTACAATACAACAATAATACAAAAAAACACTGTTTCAGTTTGTTAACGTGCATGAAACGGCTTGAGGCGCGCGACATGGACGACTTCAGGTCGCGATCGGCGTCGTTGAGAGTTCGTGATGCCGTCGGGGACAACTTCGTAATCAAGTGGGCCGAGACGTCGAACCACCTTGTACGGTCCGAAGTACCGTCGCAGAAGCTTTTCACTTAGTCCACGTCGGCGTAACGGCGTCCACACCCAAACACGTTCACTGGGCTGGTATTCCACGAAGCGTCGTCGAAGGTTGTAACGGTGGCTGTCGGTCGTCTGTTGATTCTTGATACGAAGACGCGCAAGTTGTCGGGCTTCTTCGGCGCGTTGAAGGTACTCGCTCACATCGAGGTTTTCTTCGTCGGTGACGTTGGGTAACATGGCATCGAGCGTCGTTGCCGGGCTCCTTCCGTAGACCAATTTGTATGGAGATAACTGCGTCGTCTCCTGCACCGCCGTGTTGTATGCGAAGGTCACATACGGAAGAATGGTGTCCCACGTCTTGTGTTCGACATCGACGTACATTGACAGCATGTCGGCGATCGTCTTGTTAAGCCGCTCGGTGAGGCCGTTGGTCTATGGGTGGTACGCTGTCGTCCGGCGGTGGTTTGTTTGGCTGTATGCCAAGATCGCTTGAGTTAAGTCGGCAGTGAATGCCGTTCCTCTGTCGGTGATAAGGACCTCCGGGGCGCCGTGACGTAGGACGATATTTTCGACGAAAAACTTAGCTACCTCGGATGCACTGCCTTTTGGTAGGGCTTTTGTCTCGGCGTAGCGGGTGAGGTAGTCGGTAGCTACCACGATCCACTTGTTTTCGAAAGCCGACGTTGGGAACGGCCCCAGTAGGTCCATACCAATCTGCTGGAAAGGTCGGCAAGGTGGATCAATTGGCTGCAGAAGTCCCGCTGGCCTTGTCGGCGGTGTCTTGCGTCGCTGACAGTCCCGGCATGTCCTCACATAACGAGTGACGTCGGTGGTAAGACGTGGCCAGTAGTACCTTTCTTGTATCCTCACGAGCGTGCGGGAAACACCGAGGTGCTTTGCCGTCGGATCGTCGTGCAGGGCCTGCAGGAGTTCTGGTCGCAGAGCTGAAGGCACCACAAAGAGGTACTTAGCTCGAAGGGGTGAAAAGTTTTTCTTTTGTAGAAGACCGTTTCGTAGAAAGAACGAAGCAAGTGCGCGCTTGAATACCTTCGGGACTTCGGCGGTCCTGCCTTCGAGGTATTCTATTAGGGCTTTAAGTTCCGGGTCGGCCCGCTGTCGTTCAGCGAAGTCGTCGGTAGTTATCGTTCCCAAGAAGTAGTCGTCATCCGAGTCGTCGGGTAGCGGTTGGTCGACAGGCGCACGAGAGAGACAGTCAGCGTCGGAGTGTTTTTTGCCGGACTTGTAAATGACAGTAATGTCATATTCTTGAAGTCTCAGGCTCCATCGTGCGAGGCGACCTGAAGGGTCCTTCAAGGTGGCTAGCCAACACAAGGCGTGGTGGTCGCTCACAACTTTGAAGGGCCTGCCGTAGAGGTAGGGGCGAAATTTCGACGTAGCCCAGATGATGGCGAGGCACTCCTTTTCTGTTGTGGAATAATTTGCTTCTGCTTTGGATAGCGATCGGCTGGCGTAACTAATAACCCTTTCAAGTCCGTCAGCCCTCTGCACAAGAACGGTGCCAAGACCTACGCTGCTTGCGTCAGTATGTATTTCTGTCTCGGCGAATTCGTCGAAATGGGCAAGTAACGGAGGCGTCTGGAGGCGATGTTTAAGCTCCTGGAAAGCGTGTTCCTGTGGCGTTTCCCACTTGAACTCCGAGTCGGCCTTGGTAAGGTTAGTGAGAGGATCGGCGATGCGGGCGAAGTTTTTCACGAACCGCCTATAATAGGCGCACAGGCCCAGAAATCGGCGCACGGCCTTCTTGTCAGTGGGCGGCGGGAAATCGGCGATGGCGGCTGTTTTCCGTGGATCGGGACGAACTCCAGACTTGCTGATAACGTGCCCCAGAAACAAGAGCTCCTCATACGCAAATCTGCACTTTTCTGGCTTCAGTGTGAGTCCGGACGTCTTGATGGCTTGAACAGCAGCGCATTCTGGAGTCAGGCGACGATTATACTGTCTGGTGCGCATGTCCAGCGTTTTTTCGATGGTGGTCGCCTCGGATACAAATTCTTGGACGGTGTTCAGTGGATTCCTCATTAGTCCCGCGAAGAGCTCCTGTTTGACCCCTCGCATGAGGAAACGAACTTTCTTTTCCTCAGGCATGTCTGGGTCAGCGTGACGGAATAGGCGGGTCATCTCCTCTGTGAAAATTCCAACATTCGTTTGGTAGCTGAACCCGGGTCTCGAGTAGAGCAGCTGCCCTCTCTTTGCGAGCGACGCTTGCGAACGTTTGAAGAAATGCGCCGCAGAAGACATCCCACGTTCGGAGCGTGGACTCCCGATTCTCTAGCCAGGTCCTTGCGGTGTCTTCCAGGTAGAAGTACACACGTTGGACCTTTTCTTCGTTGTCCCAGTGGTTGAGGGCGGCCACACGGTCGTATGTTTCTAGCCAGGTTTCCGGGTCTTCAAACGATGAGCCATGGAACGTTGGTGGTTCCCTGGGTTGATGAATGACGATCGCGGGCTGGGACGCTCCGGTTGTCATTGTCGCTGCAGTCGAGGTCATGGTCTTGGTCTTCCGCGCCTTGTCTTGTAGCAGGCTGTACTCCGGTGGGAGACCTTGCTGTCGGCGGCTCGTGCGCTGCTCTTGGTTGGCGTCGGTGTCTTGTCCGCGAAGGGGGCTGGGTTCACGGCTTGACGGGGGCGTCCGGTACATGAACGAAGCAGCACCTCCACCAGATGTCACGGGGTCGTGACGTGGCCAAAGACTGAAAACTTCGTGTTGGGATTTAACTGTTTATTTGGGCGAACCTGTGCCCGGTAAAGGGAAAGTCTAATTACAGCAGCAGTCTTTCACAGATAGCAGTCTCGGACTGATAGCGGCGAACGCAGCGTCGGCCTTCGATCAACTACTGACAAGCGGCGAAGCGCGTCGGCATTTATACCCTTGCTGTCGAATGTTCTAGCGTTATCGCTGGCGGTGGCGTAGGTTCCAGAACAATCTGTACCGTTCGCACAGTGGGCGTCATCTTGTCGAAATGATCTACTACAGTACGGAACCTTCTCGAAACCTGCAGGCGCGGTTTGCGCCGAGAATCGTGTGGTGTTTCGGAACGATAACAAAAACTTGTGAAATGGGACGTGGCATTATGGCTTTCAGTCATATTCATTCACGCAGATTAAG